TTTATGGATTTTTATGGATTTTTTCACCGACGTGAATCCATTTAAACTTGTATTGCTTGTATTTAAAGGCATTTATGGGAGTTTTTTTTTTTGCATTTTTCTGCATTTTTCATTATAGTAAGACTATAGCCTTGCTTGTTTTTTGTGATACATGGACATGAACAGGTAAAAAAAAGGTAAAAATCACAATTTTGAATGCACAGTCAGAGGTGGAAAGAGTACTAAAATATTCTACTTACTAAAAGTACTATTACTCAGATGAAGGTTTAATTTAATATCACCTCGCAGTTAAAGCCTTGGGGAAGACATAACAACACTGACCTTGTTATCTGGAAAAAGAATGAAAGCCACAGCAATCAGTTTGAACATAACGCTGTGGCTGATTCATGTAAACTTTAAATGTCATAATTACCTTGCCTTAATTCAACCCAGGTCACCACAGTCAGATGTATCCCTTAGGCTAACGGCCATTTTCCCTTTACTTTTCCATTATTATCAAACATATGTCTTATTCTAGGACCTATAACTGTACTTTTACTATTTATTATTACTATTTATTAGTCTTTTTGTATTTTGCAATCATCAATCAAGTCCATAAGCAAAAACCTAAGTTGAAAAAGGTGTCCTCTTGTTGATTTAATGACTCAAATTGTAAGTTGCTTTGGGTAAGTGTCTGCTAAATGTATTGTAATACATTTAATTAGTAATATTTTATTTACTTCAAAACATCTGTTAGTGTCCATTAAATGTTCTAAACATCTGTCTTAATCTGTTAAAATAACAGCATGCCTTCACACAAACCTGGATGCATTGAAGTAATGAGAAAACTGTCATAAAATACAAATAAACGTAAATAAAATTAATTTCTTTATTAAAAATTCATGTTTTAATACTACAATTACTTCCATGGTGTACTAATGATTTCATGAAAATGAACCAAAAAAAAGGAAAACTTGTGTTACTGTTACAAAAAAGTCCAATAAATGAAAGCACCTATAAATACCTCAAAATGCAAGTTTATGCCCCAAGACGTACTCCAAGTGAATAATTTGTGCTAAGAACCTATTCCAACCTATTTTTTACTTACAGTAAAACACTAAGTAGTAAAAGGTAAGCTATAAGTTATTGTTAGCACTTATTTTATACACAGGTAGAGATGGACAGATCACATACTCACAACCACATGTGCTCACAGGATTCAACAAAGCTCCCACCATCAGGAGTGGAACAACTTCATTTTCAAATTCTTCTTTTGGCCTGAAACACAAGATGAAATAAAGAAAACATTCCAACATATGCTCTCAGATGATACCATCTCTGATCTCATCTCATCTCTGTAATTTACTGCATAGTGTTTGTCCTTCCCAGTCCCAATGACAATTGTAAAGATGTTTACAATTTCACAACACTCTGTAACTTGAAATGTTTCTTGTCTTACTAGAGCAGCTCAAAAACGGCCAGGACGATGTCGTTCACGTAACAGAAACCAGATGATTCGAACTTCTTGGCTTGGTGGAGTCCACCGCCCCAGGTGATGGCGATATGGGTCTGCTGCTAGACCTGAAGGGATTAACTTAATCATACTCATCGTTACAATGCCCTACAGTGTGCAAGAACTGCTTTGAAGCAAACACTCCCCGCAGAACAAGCCATTTCTTCACTAACACACAAGTCTTAAGTCGCAAGACCCAAAATGTTTCGACCACTCAAACCAAACGGTCTTGCACATATTTAGTGGTCAAATAACAAAGCGCTATCTCATACAATTTAATAACACGCTGACTGAAGCGACACGTGCGGCTCAAACAGACTACTGTTTAGCACCGGCTGTTTAGAACCGGTTGCCACACTCCGCGATTCGGCAGCGTGCGGACCGTTTAAAACAAACCGTCCACACGCTCTGTTGAATGCTAGTCCTTCGCGTGACGCGTTAGTCGCCAAAGTTAAGAGAACCAGAGATGGAAATACTGTACGTAACGTTGTAAACCTTTTGCCTTGACCCAGTGTCATTTTGCAGCCATCACAGTGGTTAGGGAGACAGGTAGGAAGGTGCTACGTATGTCCTCTGGGCAGAGAAAGGAGGACAAAGAGACCTGGTGGTGGAATGATAAGATCCAGGGAAGTGTGCAGAGAAAGAGATTAGAGTGCAGGCATGGTGGAACAGCTGGAGAAAAGTGTCAGGAGTGATCTGTGATAGAAGAGTGTCACCTAAGGTGAAGGGAAAGGTTTTCAGGACGGTGGTGAGACCAGCCATGATGTATGGTTTAGAGACAGTAGCAATAGGCAGAAGACATGAGGCGGAGCTGGAGGTGGCAGAGTTAAAGATGCTAAGATTCTCTTTAGGAGTGACAAGAATGGACAAGATCAGGAATGAGGTCATTAGAGGAACAACACAGACAGGAAGGTTTGGAGGAAAATCTAGAGAAGCCAGATTGAAATGGCTTGGACATGTGCAGAGGAGGGACAGTAGATACATTGGTAGAAGAATGTTCTGGAGATGGAGCTACCAGGTAGGAGACAAAGAGGAAGGCCAAAGAGGAGATATATGGATGCAGTGAGAGAGAGAGTTGGAGTCAGAGAAGAAGATGCAGAGAACAGGCCAATATGGAAATCAATGATTCGCAGTGGCATCCCCTGAAAAAAGCCAAAAGAAAAAGAAGATATAATATATAACATAAATTGCGTTATTTTACTTCCGCAATATTACTTAGTAAAGCATACAACTTTGTATCTTGTGTTATTCCTTCTATTTCTTTACACGTACATCACAACGCTCTCCATTGCCGCTTCCAGACGCCATTTCCGGCGCAGTGTAGAGGCGTCACACAAGGCCCTCCTGGCGATTCAGTCGTGTGATTGGCTGCAAACAAACGAGACATCTGATTGGCTGCTGACGGGCCCCATGTTGAAAAAATGCATGTGTATCTGGTCGCCGCTAGATGAGTCTCAAAAATCCACAAACAAATGCAGGGCGATTCACAAAGAACGTTATAAATGCTCGTTAGACCATCCACAAATGTATTACAAATAAAACTATATTTGTTATAAAACTAACAAATATCTTCCTGTACATACATTTGTGAATTTTCAAAATACATTTGTGAATCCTTGTTTGTGTATTCATTCTTTTTTAGACAGTTCTAGCTCCATACAATAGAGACACGTCTTCTGTTGTCAAAAAAGGGTGTGGATCCGTGACGATACAAAAATAGCAGCCTTGTAAATACAGTCCATCGGTTTAAATCGTCTACGATTGACAACAACTTCTAACCAATAAACATCATTTTAAAAAGCGTTTGGACCATTTTAGCCAATTGAATTTAAGTAAATTCTTAGAGGGCGGGACTAGAAACCTGTGTGAAGTGGTACCGTTTGCGATCACTGGGCAACAGATGGCGGCTGTAGCGATATCCATGATGTTTGATGGGCTGTAGGCAGCAATGGAGAAGTTCTGGCGGTTGACACATTTGGTTGCAAAATGACGATTCAGTAGAAAACTTAGCTTTTTTGGACACACTGGGAATCTTTTATCCCACGCCCCGACTTTTTGCTCCACCCCTCCCGATTCTTCTTCGCAGGCCGTAAGAAGCCTCGGGCTTGATTTGGAGATACACCGGGCCGAGAGAGAGAAGAGCTCTGGGAAATTGTTTTGAGAAGTATCCTAAAATGTCTTTGCCATAATACCGCATTGCAAAGTTGTTGGGATTTTAACATTTAGACATTCGGTATATTTCGGGATCGCAAATGTTGAGGTTTTGAGAAAAATAATTAAGTTTACTAGGTAGCTTTAATGCTAGTAAGCTACATAGCAGCCAAACTCTTGCATGTTGAATGAATGAACGAACCAGTGAATTGGAGAGCAGTTGGACTTTACTAGCAGATCCTTGTTCGGTTTTTGTGAATAAAATCCAATAGATATTGCCATAGGCTGCAACCGTTTTCATCAGCAGGGCACAGTCATTAGTATAGACCCACAAATGGACCGGAATGCATTTCCTGGGAGTTGGGCAGCGGCGGTTTAGCATACAAAGATACCGTTTGTGACTGTAGTCTGGTTATGTTTTTGACGCTGTTTAGTTAGCCCACATATATTTGCACTACTCGAACTCGGGGGCAACACTGAGGAGCCTACACCCGTTTTGGAATGGGGAACACGGTGTCATGCTGCGTCTCTCCAGAGTCCAGCCCCAAACTACCCTCGAGACAGCCGGCAGAGCGTCTGGAGGAAGTCCAGACCAGCACCGAAGTGAGCGATGATAACACCGTACCCTACCTGCAGCATATCAGCGACAGAGAGGTGCCTGATGGTGAGTGATGCGTACAGCAGTTACACCTCAAGTGTGTTCATTTCGTTTGTCTACTGGGAGGCGGGTGGCATCTTAAGCCAGTCACTGACAGAAAGGGGAACTTCTCGTTACTCCCTTGCAAATGAAAACAAACCATCCCTGATGTGCAAACATTTTCCCTCAAACAAACCCAGTGGCTGTTATCGCTCACTGGATTTCAGTCTTTTGTTGGGATATTAAACATGCCAGCTCTTTGATACTTTTTGTAAACACAGAGCTCTCCTTGACTGTCCTGCAGGATGAGCTACAGTTTGAACATAATCTACAAGCTTAATGTGGAAATACAGTAAAACTATATTTTGCAATTTCTAATCTGGTGACCTTAGACATCAACACATTGCCAGTCACAATGTGTGAAATATGAGAAGTTCTGCAAAGTGACAATATATCCTAATGTTTTCCCACAGACTGACATTCATTCAGGGTGAATAAATTGTCATCCAAGTGCTTCCAATCTTTTTTGTAAACGCTCCGAATCATTTTCCACCTCAGACTGATGTTACTTGACCTTTATGGTCTGGCTTAACTGCAAGTCTTTTAAATACTGGTTTTAGTATAGTTCAGTATCCTTGAGACTTGAGGTATTAAGGGTGTGAAATATTTTGTATAATCAACTGGAAGGCAGACAGGAGAGGTTCGTTCTGTTGTAAAGCAATCGTGCTGATTTTTCCTGACCAGACAGACCTATTTAATTGAACCTGCAGGCAAAGCTGAGTGACATTTAATAAGGTGCTACATACAAAGACGTACAATAATCCAATCAGGTGTATCAAATGCCTGCAGAGGAAGATCTGCCTTGACCTAACAACTTTGTATATGCTGTCTTTTAAAATGCAGTGGGCAGAACCCAGAGAAACCATCTTTAGCCACTGCCAAGTTGCCACACTTGTTTACTTCCATCCTCCTGCCAGCAGTGCACCGATTATGATGACATTCTTGGCACTGCTGGAGCTCAGCACTGCATCATATTGATCACTCTGGGTTCATGTTACCAAGTCATACATTAACAATGAAAACAAACCACTCATCTTTGTGGCGCCACTTGGCAATTAGCTAGTAAGAACCATATTTATCAGCTGCATTTGATGGTTTGTCGTATCACAGGAACAGGAAGAAGTAACGAAAATAAGTAAAAACTACATTTCACAATAGGTTTCATTGACACCATTTGGATAATGTCATTCTAATAGCTGAACATATTACTTTGTCCATGCTGAGCTAATGCTGTTATTTGGTCAGGCGAGCTGCTCAGATGTAGGCCTGAGGTCAGTTTTATTTTCTCAGTGCCCATGGTGCCAATTCTGTTTGACTCCCGGGTATGCTGTGTTCATTCCATTCATGTTGGTGTGGACTGTACAGTGAATGAGTGCAGTGTGATGAGAGCAGCTGCTGACTGGGTGAGGTCAGAATCAGTCTTGCGCTCCTTTCTGCATTCCTCCTGTCTCGTCTTGCTGTCCTCATGTCACAGATGCTGCAATCACCTAATCCCTGTGGCGTTTCTGTAATTTGTTCTCAGCACAGATTTGGTAAAGGAACAATTCAGTTTAAATTGGGCTTTGGTATAATCCCTGAAGTAAAAATACAGCTCTCTTTTTTTTCTCCTAGTGTTTTACCAGAACATAATGTTTTTCACACATCTTTTACTGATTCTGTTTGTTTTATCCTGTATGAAAAGGGATTTCCATCAAAACTTTTATAAACATGTATACAGTTTGTCTTAATATTTGGAAACATTATTTAATGTGCATGACGCAGCTAAAATATATCTTAAAACCACATTTCTTTAAAGTTCCTTCAGTTCTAAAAGTCAGCTGTGTTTCATTTTGACTGCATTCATTTTGGGGGATTTTCTTTTTAAGTTTTAGACAAGTCTACTGAGGTTTTCTCTTTGGCTGCCTGACATATATGATGGTCTTTAGTTTTGATCCCTACTCTAAAGATTTGTGTGGGCCAGCCAAATATAATCAACAACCCACTGAACTTTGTTTCAGATTTCTGACACTAAATCAATCTTTTTCTTTTTGTGCTAAAAATGTTGTTTTACAGAAAAAATGAAAATAAAATAATCTTAACCTTATTGACATCATTTGCAAACGTTGCACTAATTCTCCAACTTGGAAAAAAAATTGGAATTAAACATTTTCCTCTTTACCTTTAAATAATGTGCTGTAACTTTTTTTCTTTGGTTGTTGTCACTAACAAGAGTGAAGTTGCTTCCTTACCATGTCAACCACTTTCTCATTAATACATGGTATCCTTGCATGTTTAATTTGTTTAAACACACACTGTTTCTTCAGAGCTGGCGTTGGAGTCAAACCCTTCAGACCACGCCCGGGCCAGCACCATCTTCCTTAGCAAGTCTCAGACAGACGGTGAGCAACACTAATGTGACACATGTTCATCAGTGATTCACCATTTCTGTGTTGACTTCCTGAAAATCTCTAGAACAAACATAGAACACAAACAAACCACATAAATAAATACAAGAGATGATGATTATGGATAATTTCATCTTTTGAATACTTTGCATTTGGCTTAAATCTACTCATACACTTTAAATAACAGGATCAGCATCTTATTATCATATGTAATTATTAAAGAGCTAGGTCAGGTTTTTGTAGTGCATAAAAAATCCACTAGAGCATCAAGCGCCAACAAAAGATGTATGTTAGTTCAATGTAATTAGTTTTCTCTTTTTGGCTACACATTTTATTTAATTTTAATAAAACTTTTTTACAGAACGAGACAAGAGGAAAAGCAACCACATAAATCATATCAGTCATGTAAGTGTCACCTTGTTAATAATTAAAGCGAAAAGTAAATTGAAGCTTTGGATTGGTGTATTGATTTCTGAATGTTTCATGTTGCTTTTTAATTGTTTTAGTACTTTGTTTTGCATATTGTTATTATTTAATTTAAATAAATTGGGCATTTATTTTATTATGAATAGCCAAACTGGGTTATATTTGTAGAAGTGCAGCGATCGTGTCTCCAGTGTTTATTTATGTGTGTTGTGTTTGTCAACCCTGAAGGTGTCACCTGGACCTCTGTCAAAGAAATACAGCTCCTGCTCCACAATTTTTATAGACGACAGCACCGTTAGTCAGCCAAACCTCAAAAGCACAATCAAATGGTGGGAGAAATTCACACACACACACACAGACACGTGTCCACTTGTGTGCAAAATGCTGCAGACAAAAATACACTAATTTCACATGTCTAAATCCTGTTACATCACAGCCTGCTAACGCTGCTGTAATACTTATCAGATTCACACAGAAGCTGATGCTTTCATGTGAGAAAAAGCCATTTGAGTGGCAATGACATCTCATCACCATTATCCTTTTGTGTTTGTTTTTAAACCTGTTGATGAATGAAGATGTTCAGTTTGACTGTAATCCCACATGAAAAAATTACTCTGTCTGAGATGTTTTCCATGAAGCTGTTTAACATTTACCTCCTTTTAATCTCCTACAGTGTCACATTAGCAATATACTACCACATTAAAAACAGGTACGTTTTATTTGGAATTTAACCCTTGTCATGTAATGTGACAATTGAATTTAAGGTATAACCACTGTGCTGACATTTTCATTCCAGGGACTCGGACAGATCGCTGGACATTTTTAATGAGAAGTTGCACCCCTTATCAGTGAGTATGTTAACGATGAACATGAGTTAAAATACAGAGCTGCTTCATTGTACAACAATGTATTAGCCCCAAACTGACGAGGGGAAAAATCTAACTATGAGAATAAAGACTGCTACAGTTACACTGTTGTACTATTATCAGTCTTATCCCAACAGAAACTTGCATTTTATTTAAGACAACTACATAGTGCACTTAGTAAAAGTGATAAAAATGTTTGTAGCCCTGTGCTCATTTTGTTTATGAAAGAGTCAGGATTTCTCTCCATTCAAATTGATAATGTTGATTTTTTTTCTGCACCCATTTCACACAACTGCAGCCACAGTAGCACATAACAAATGGATAGAGAGGTGAATAAAGGTCAATTTAAAAACAGCGTCTTCTTGTCTAACACAGAGAGAACCCGTTCCAGACGACTTTTCTCGCATCGACCCAGAACACAAATTGATCTACCGCTTTGTCCGAACGCTCTTCAGCGCTGCTCAGCTGACTGCAGAATGTGCCATAGTCACTCTGGTAAGCTGTTGTTATTCACAGCCATAATATTTTAAACTATTGTAAATTTAAAAAATATATATATTAAAAGGCTGAAGTTATCCTTGAGCTTTGTGTCAGTTGTTTGTTCTGTGTTTGTTGGGTAATATTTAGGTTTGACTTGACAAGAGTGACCCAATGCTCTGGCTTATGTGTCTTATAATTCTTGATCCTCCGCTAGAGGGCAGCAAAGTCACGTCTTAGAATCATCGTGAGAAGAAAAATATCCCTGTGTGACACTGCTCTGTGGTTGTTATGACAAATAAATGTCACAAACAAAGTTGTCAGTGTCTAAAATATTCAAAACATATAAATGAAATATCTCAATAGTTCTTATATCTTAACAATATACCAATTCTACATTTTAGTCAGAAATTAGATGCAAGAATTATCTCTACATTCCATGCAAAAACATAATTTTCTAGATACAAAATTAATACATACGTCATGCATAATTTTTTGCATTTCTAATTAAACTTTTGTGTCAATTTCTAGTTGAATGTTTTACACTCTTTTAACATTTTTCTTTTCCCAAAGGTGTACTTAGAACGCTTACTGACCTATGCTGAGCTGGACATCTGCCCGGCCAACTGGAAGCGCATCGTCCTAGGAGCCATCCTGTTGGCCTCCAAAGTCTGGGACGACCAGGCCGTGTGGAATGTGGACTACTGCCAGATCCTTAAAGACATCACTGTGGAGGACATGTGAGTTTTCTGTTCAAATAAAAAAAAGACTTGATATCCATTTAAATGTATTTGTTTATCTCATTTTCTTTGTCCTCTGCATTTAACACATCTGTGAAACCTGAGCAGTTCCCTGTGTTTTACTGAAATTAGCAGAGTATTCACAGCTTCTTCAGACATCAATTTAATATTTTTAAGAGTAACCAAACAGCAATGGCAATGCTAATGCTGTTTTGCCACAAATCTTTATACTTTTAAGCTTTAGTTGCTCCAACTAAATCTCTTGAGGAACTTTGTTTTTGCCACATTTGGAAAAGAACTAAAACAAAAGTCGACTCATGAGAGTTTCTGGTTTTGTTTTCTTTAAATTTGTGACATTTAAAAGTTCTAAAGTTCAGATGTTTTCCGATATAACTTCAACTTTGTATATGCTTTTTGACAACTGCGCTGCATTATTTGTGATTTGAACGTATAACCTTCGAATAACTGCCAGAGCCTCAAACCTACGTGTGGAAAACAGAGGCTGCTGTCTACGCCTAGTCCAGATCACATTTACTAAAGTAGTTTTTTGTGCAGTGCATTATTTCCAGTGTCACACAGTGCTGGCCACTAATAGGAAGAACATATAAACATGGTTGCACTTGAAGCAGAATAAAGTGCTGGAGCAGATGGGAGTTGTACAATATTATCTGTCACTCTGTCAATAATCTTGTGAAGAGGCCAGAGGCTACACATGGAGCAGCCAGGCTTTATTTCCTACAATTGCTTGTATATGAAAGAGGTTGAGAGTGTCTCCTGGTGCAGAGGTGCATGTACTATGTGCATATGTGTTCTCAGTCCAAGAGCCCACATCTCCCTCCGACCCTCCTTACTCTCATATACTGTAGTACGTCTGACCTACACACTCTATGCTCTGATTTCACCGCTGCCATTGTGGTGTCTTTGAGTCTGCTGGAGTCTGGCTGTAGACAGGAAGAGTAGAGAGAGGAACAGAGAATTGGAGGGGAGGGTCTCAAGTGCTCTCACTCCTTGTACATAATGGCCCGGGCTCTCGCCCACTCCATTAGTTGCCCTGGGAGACCAGACATCACACACACTCCTGCTCACTCGCACCACCTTTGCTGACCAACAAAGCATCCCGGATGCGGTCTCCTTGACGACGAACCTGCCTCAGTGTGCAGTGATGGTGAGGAGAAGAATGTTGAAGCTTGTAGATTGGAGAAGGACCAGTAATAACTCCAGCTGATTGGTCTGAGATACCTGTTGGGTTAACATGAAGTTGACTTTGAGTAGACAGTTGGCTTTGACAAATTTCTGTAACTTCACCACAACACTTGGAATTTTACATTTTACAGAAGAAAGACCCTATAGATTTCTACATACATAACAATATTTAACCTAAGACCTAACCAGCCACAGACTGAAGGTCAGAGTTTCGCCCCTTTTGTCTTAAATGTGCAGAGGCGTATCAGTAACCTTTAAGGGAAGGATATAGTATTATAATTATTATATTTTTTTCATATTTTTCTGAGCTTCTAATGGAGGACTTTACATCATCCATGGATGTGTCAGCAGCCAGTGATGCCTTCATGTACCAAAACTAAGCTTAGTTAAAACGTCAGGCACACTACTCCAGCGGTGCCCCCTGATGGAGGTCAAGGTCATTCTTCGTCAAGTCAAGAAAACTCCCACATTTTCCCATGTCCTTAAATCTAACACTTAGCATCTCCAGGAAACAAGGGTTGTCTGCTTATGGTCTGTTTTTCCTCTCATGCTCGAACTAAATTATTATAAGCTGTTGAACTTTTGAATGCAGTCCACCTCACTTGTTTCTGTAACTGTTTATGTGGACCATCATGCATCTGTTCACTCTCATCTTTAATTTGGAGCGCTGCTGTCGCTGCAGTCGAATTTCCCACTCGATGTTTAGCACAGAGTTGAGACTGTTGACACTCAGGTGCCTTTTCCACTCTCCAGGAACGAGATGGAGCGTCACTTCCTGGAACTTCTCCAGTTTAATATCAATGTGCCAGCCAGTGTCTACGCCAAGTACTACTTTGATCTGCGGCAGCTGGCTGATGACAACAACCTCAGCTTCCCCCTGGAGCCTCTCAACAACCAGCGTGCCCAGAAACTAGAGGTGAGCTCCAAAGACATGGACCAATCTTCATACACCTTCATATCTTTCCCTTCCCTTAACCTTTCTGACACGATTTGGGGACAGTTGTTCCAGTACAAAGCAAACCAGGGGCCATTAGAATATAAACACTTTTCTGGTTTAAATAATTTATCTTACTCTTGGTGTGATTAGTATTCAATAAAAACAACCTGTGAACTAAAGCTGCCCTTTAAAGCAACTTTTAAAGGACAGAAATTTGCTGCATTTCTCAATAGTGCATTAATTATGAAGGCGTCATCGCCTGAGTTAGACCACAGTCCACACACCGAGCTCTCAGCTCTGAATTCAGAAATGTACAAAATTCAGCTTTTTGTGTGTGCAAAGCCCTGTGTTCAATGAATTCCCATAACCTTCAGTTCAGACTAGTCTTCTTATATGTATCTTCCCATGTTTAAACATCTGACTGACACATTACCACCACTGAGCGGTGGGAAGCTGTATTGTAACTATCACTTGTAACAGTCATTATAAAAAGTCTGTGTAGGTTCTCATTCATTCAGGTCATTTTATCTAAAATTTAATTTTTTACAATAGTAGTTCAAAAATAGTTACATCGAGGGAAACTGGACGGAGACGGTTTTTTGAAGACGTTTCACCTCTCATCCAAGAGGGTTCTTCAGTTCTGGGATTCCTCCTGGAGCCTCAGGCAGGGCTGAGAGGAACTGAAGAAGCCTCTTTGGTGAAACATTAAAAAAAAAAAAAACTACTGCGTCCGGTTGCCCTCGATGTAACTATCTTTGAAACATTGTAAAAATTCATGGCCATAACTGCAAAATTGAAAGTATCATTGCTGCCTTGTACATATGGGCCTTGTGGTTAAGAGTCACCTAATTAATGAGCCATAGTTGAAAATCTTTTTTTTTTTTTTTGAATTATTTGACTTCCACTGTGTAGCACCTTGGTCTACCATGATCTTTTAACTGCATGTTTTTTTTTTGTTTGTTTTTTCTCAGGCAATTTCAAGACTATGTGAAGACAAATATAAAGACCTGAGCAGGGCAGCAATGAGACGGTCCTTCAGTGTAGACAACCTGATAGGTATTCGATGCTCCAACGCTGTCCTGTCATAGGTCACACCTCTTCGGTCTGCTGTCTAATGTCCCAGTAACCCACAGTTAGTGTCCAGTCTAAGCATGTTTGTACACTGAGGAGTCAAACAGGATTCAGGCTGGGAATGATGCAGTGTGTCCTGTGATGACATGACAGCTGCATGATTACCATTGACATCGTAACTTTTGTTTTGTTTTGAAAGTTTATTTATTTTTTAACTGTCCCTTTTATTCCAGATGAAGTTTAGAATGATTTGTTCTATCACTGAAGAAAAAAAAATGGGCTTACAAGTGTCAAATTTACTTTCTTTTTTTATACAAAACAAGTTTGAATAATTCTGTTTAACCTTAATGATAATTTTGTGGTAGTCTATAGTTTATTATTCACAAAATCAAATGGATGAAAAAAGCTCATTTGTCTGCAGAGAGTTCATCAGAACCAAAATCATAGACTGAAGAAGAACTGGATGGAACCACCTCCCAGTAACCTAATGGGAAAATCCTGAAGTTGTTCCATTGATGTTAGAATAGTTCCGTTCGTGTTATAGTCTAACATCTCCATTGATGTTGGAATAGAAGTCTGTGCAGAACAAAACTACTTTCCACATTACACAAACCATTTTCTCATGACACTCTCTACAGACATGAGATCTAAGAATGAGGGGCTTTTTATAGTTTGTTGAATAATTAATCTATAGAATATCACTAAATTCCTTTTTTTTAAACTAAGATAAAATACTGATTCTTGTAAATGCAAGTTCAAAAACCAAAAGTAACTTTTTTGAGAGTGTAAATCGAACCTGTTTACTGTTAATACCAGTGGTGTTCCATTCAGTTGAAGTCAGTTATTCTCCCATTTGCATAGAGCATGTCTCACGTAAGAAGTATTAGAGCATAAATATACTGCAGGAGTTGGCTGGAGATGGAACACAGTCAGTCTGATGTTGTCTGTTGTATGTGTGTGTCTCTGAGTGCCAATCTGAGAACTCACCACAGGACACACTCATTTGATTCTGAATCCCTTCTGCTGGACTCTTTGATTGATAGCAGTTAGATTGATGTCCTGTAACGATAGCTCAGTCCAGACTCAGTATTGTTCCCTTCACGTTCTCCCATCCTAACCCCCTCCTCAGAGAGATTGGACCCTGAGCAGAGCCTTCCAGAGAACTACATAGATATAGAGGGGACAGAAAAAGAAGAGACTGTTGGAAACTCTCCTCCTTTTTGCTTACTATGTAGGCCACTAGCTGTGAAAATGTCGTGTTTTTAATTGAACAAAAAACATTTGCAGATGGAGTATTTTAAATAAACACTAATCATGTAACAACCAGGTGTCAAGAGACTCTGTGACTGCGATCCTTTAAAACCACACCCACTTTTAGGATGGTATGTAGCAGATAATTGATGACCCATCCCCCTATTCAGTGTTGGTTGTTCCAGATGGGCATAGATGGCTTCTTTCACTCCCCTCTCAAGTCACCTGTCCTCCTTATCCAAAATATGGGAGGGCGACCCCATTAGGACAGGACTCGGCAGTATATCTACATCTTAAAGAAAGGGAATACTCTTTCAAGGACACAGAGGTGCATATTTTGGAGAAGGAGGACAGGTGGCTTGGTCAGTCAAAATATCACCAAAAAGAAGACTGTAGTCTGACTATTACGAAAAAATAAAATTAATAAAAAATAAAAGTCCCAGAAATGCCTCAAAAGGCATTTATCACAGTTTATGCCACAAAACCTGCTGCCAAGTAAATGTGTGCTAAAAACCCCCAAAAATATTTTCTGAATATTTCAAAATATCACCAAAAATAAGCAAGAATATAATCGTACTATAACAAAAAATTGTAATGTTTCTCATCAAATTAGAGCCTTCTGGGAAAAAAAACTTTGAAAAAGATCGGATTTATTTTGGTAAAATCCTAATTTCGCGTCATGTGGTCAGATGTTGAAAAATAAAATTTCTAATTATTTCTCTTTCTGATTCCAATTATGTTAAAATAAAGGTAAACTTAAGTCAAAAGATAACATTTTTTGTACTTAAATAAAAACGTACTTACTGTACTGTACTGTCCATCGGGGTCGCGGGGGCAGCAGTCTCCATGACCGCTACCCAAATCACACTGCACGGGACCTCGTGAACCTTTCTGCGGGTGGTGACTCCACTGGAAGGCGCCTATCGCGTGACTGTGTTTTTTTTTTTTCAAAAACAGAAACATTTTTAGTAAGTCTTAATTCTTAGTGACTAAAAGAACAGGTTCAAGGTATATTAAAAAATATCTTATCAAATAAAATTGCCTAAATAAATGCTACGGCTAGCTGCCTTTTTCTCCCTCTCATAAAGGTGCCCGTTTCTAAATACAGAACGAGCAACCACAATTTATTCACCTGTGGAGAATGGACAGAGGCACAAATAGCTGCTTGTTGCTCCAAAAATCGTTCGATAATTTCGAACGCGCTATTCCTGCGCGTAGGGGCGTCAGAGTTCAGTTTGTGTAGCGGTAAGTGCAGTAGCCTCTGTTTATCCATAGGGCACGAGTAGCGACGCTGCTGCGGTGGAAGAATCCGGTGATTGGTCTAATCCTCCCAAGCAGGCGAGACACCAAATTTAACTTCAGGACTCGCTGAGCGGCGAAGTTTACTTGAAGACGGGACGGGCAGAATTTCGTGCTTCGTAGCGAGAGTTGTGTCGCCGGAAGTTGCGTACGGAAACGCTTAAGGGAACGTTAATACAGAATCGATTTTTAATTTTATGAATCGATTCAGAATCGTAGACCAACAACTATAATTTAGCGTGTCATTTTTGGTCAAATGGTCAAAAAAATTCAAAATGAATAAAATATACAGTAACTCTGTGGCGCTTTGGCCCAGAGGCAATGCCTCTGTCATTGGTGTGGAACCCCAGAGTTCACCTCCTGGGCAGAATCGAATCCCGGTTAGGTTGGTAACTTCCAGTGGTCTCACCACCAGCGGTAAGGTTGTGAGGGGTTGGTACGGTGAAATGTGACTTGGGTGGCGGTCATCGAGACTGCTGCCCCCGCGACCCGGTAACGGATAAGCGGATGAAAATGGATGAAACCACCCGAACCGGTATTCAATCTTGCCCAGGAGGTGAATCCCCGGGTTCCACACCAATGACAGACACATTGCCTCTGGGCAACTAATATTAACATAACTTAATATCATATAAAAACTCAAATTACTGTTCAACCTGTGCACATTTTTTTTTATTTTTTCACACAAGTATAACATTTCCTCAGGATCAACCACATATACACTCAGTTATAGCATTAACATGAACAAAGTCACAGATGTGGTGAGACACTAAAGTATTTCAATAACATTATCTGAAGTTCATCAGTCTGACAGCAGTTTATATTTTTAAAAAAAAAATCCTATCGTCGTCTCACTCATCCCAGACTAATAAATTAAACATGTTCTCTACTCTATGGACAAACCATAATAACAATTATTATTGTTATAATGAAATTATAATGAAAATGATAATCAAATGGTCAACAACACTGACAAACAGCAGAGACAGAAACTGAAGATTTCCTGTGAATCTTCTAAGTCACCGCTTCTTCAAGAGTGAACATCGCAAGGATTTTTTTTTTTTTTAGTTTTGGAGAAGAATTAAGGAAGTTTCAGTGCAGACGGAAAACATCTCTCTTGTGAAACTCCAGAATTGAACAGTCACACTGCTAACAAGTCTGAACTTCTATTCCAGTGGAATAATCATTTTAAATACATGCTCCGACTGTTTGCTCTGGTTAACATTTTTTTGTCTGTTTGTTTTTTTACAGTTTATTTACGCTCATTAACACACTAACCTGAACTGAACTCTGTTTTCGGGGCGCAGACAAACCAGAGACACAGACTGAACCGCAGATCTCTGTAGATACGATAAGTCACTGCTCACTGAGGAGACCATTGTTGCTCAACTGGAACTAAAAGGCTCCTTAAAAAAGTTCTCAGAATGAACTAGTGAACTTCTGGAGTGTAGGGGATTCAGTCACTGAAACTGACAAAACCAAGATCAGATCACAACATTGTTTAATAAATTACTAATCATTCAGATTTTGTGTCAATTAGTAAATAGTTATTTAATCAATAAAATACAGACTGTTGTCTATAGGTTGTTGACTAAATGTTTGTGCATAATTTAACATTTCTGACTCCTGACTTTCCTGTCTTTTCTCTAGCAGTTGGTAAAACAGTCAAAATGTGTTAAATGTCAGGAGGAAATAGGACAAATGCAGAGCAAATCTTGTTTTTTCTTTTGGAAATGGCTGTGTTTTTAAAATAATATTTCAATTGTGGTTTACTTTCAATACTGGTGTGTATGTATAAAGGCTCTGGAATCGAACCCATAACCTTCTGGTCAACCGACACCAAATCACAGCCAATGTGGATATACTTATGTTTTTTGTTAGCATCAATGATGGGAAGTTGTTGAAAAAGGTGAAGCATTTTTATCAAAATGTCGTTTTTCAGTTATCATATCAATCTTTATTTATCTTAAAGATCAACATCAGGGATGGCGAAATATTTTTAGTAGTTAATGTAATTTCATTATAATAAAAAAATGTAAAGAATTCATACCATTTGTTGACACATTTGATTTGATGACTACAGTCGTCAAACCCGAGGATGTCTTGAAACTAAAACCTGCAGTTCCGCCTAACACCAAAAGATGGGAGTAAAGGGCAGCGTCAAAGGCAGCACATCCTCCATCGTTCATCCTTAAAACCGCCTTGATAGTTCACATGACACTGACAAAACTAGTTCACATTTCACACACAGACTGACAACAGTGTGAGAGTCACGTCCTTATAAGAGGTTATATCTGTTTTTCCTTCTATTCTCATGACTCACACAGTTTTGATAAACAAATACTTTTTCTCTGCACATTTTTAGTTTTCTGTTACAAAAAAAAAAACAAAACAAAAAAAAAACAGAATCACTCACAAACAATATGTACAAAAAATGTTCTATACATGTGGCAGTGGCATTGGTTGGTTAATAATTCAACAAATCAGAACTAATAAACCTAATATACAGCTATTTCTTTCAAATTTACAACATATGCACAAAATATATACAGAAATAAATACTTGCCCTCCTTCGACGCTCAATGTGAACAGGAAGAGATGAGGCACATGAAGAATTCATATATTTCTGTTTGGTCAGCTGATTGAGATCTGTCAAAATGAAGGAAAGATTGTTTAATGCTTTGTTGTTTTTCCCTTTTATTCAAAGCTGATCCTCAGTTCGCACAGTCCTGCACATTTTCCTGTTCTTTTCTTCAAGTTCATATATGAGAATGAGCAGCTTTGTGATACATCCCTGAGGTCAGTCCAGACCCAGTGTGTCCGGTCAAAGCCGTACTGGCCTCACTGTACATGGAAGGTGGAGCATTGGCCTTCTGTAGCCAGCAGGGGCAGCACCGGGCCACAAACCTCCTCCATGACTCCAAGGTCTTCCCTGACCAAATCCAAACCCCTGAAGTGATGCCCACCACTAAATACATGAAATATTTGAGCATGAAAACAGCATAGTCCGGGCCGAGGCCCAAACGCTGGCGCTCGGACTGGCAGGAGCACGCCAAAGCTCGCTCCCAGCCCGGGCGATAGTGCTGTTCATAGACCAGGCAGGCCACCACGATGGTGGCGGGGACGGTGTACAACACTGTGAATAGTCCGATGCGGATCATCAGCCGCTCTAGTTTGTCCGTCTTGGTGCCTCCTTGTTTGATGATACTTCTGATACGAAAGAGAGAAACAAATCCGGCCAGAAGGAAAAGTGAACCGGTAAAGAGATAAACCACAAGAGGTGCAAGCACGAATCCCCTCAGACTCTCCAAACTTTGGTTACCAACGTAGCAGATTCCAGCCACAGGGTCTCCGTCCACAGAGCTGAGGGCCAGGACGCGCGCCCGCGGCGGGGGCGATATTGCTGTTCATGGCCCGGGCGGCCCCCCACGATGGTGGCGGGGACGGTGTACAACACTGTGAATAGTCCGATGCGGATCATCAGCCGCTCTAGTTTGTCCGTCTTGGTGCCTCCTTGTTTGATGATACTTCTGATACGAAAGAGAGAAACAAATCCGGCCAGAAGGAAAAGTGAACCGGTAAAGAGATAAACCACAAGAGGTGCAAGCACGAATCCCCTCAGACTCTCCAAACTTTGGTTACCAACGTAGCAGATTCCAGCCACAGGGTCTCCGTCCACAGAGCTGAGGGCCAGGACTACGATGGACTTGATGCTGGGGATAAGCCAGGCGGCCAGGTGAAAATACTGAGAGTATCCTGCGATGGCTTCGCTGCCCCACTTCAACCCTGCTGCCAGGAACCAGGTGAAGGACAGCACCACCCACCAGATGGAGCTGGCCATGCCGAAGAAATACACCAACAGGAAGACGAGGGTGCAGAGAGCTGGACCAGTGGTGTCGTAGAGGATGTGCAGGTGGTCGCCAGAACCACCGCTGGAACCGCACGCCACTCTTTCGTGACCGGCCACCAGGCGGATGATGTAGCCCAATGAGACAAAGAGGTAGCAGGTGGCCAGGAAGATGATGGGTCTCTCTGGGTATTTGAAGCGTTCCATGTCAATGAGGAACGTGGTCACAGTGGTCAAGGTAGAGATAAAGCACAGCACAGACCACAGGCCGATCCAGAAGCTGGTGAAGGTGCGTTCGTTGGCTGTGAAGTACTCTTGGTGACAGGGTTGGGCGCAGTTGAGAAGGGGACCCGTCTGGACCCGACCGTAAAGAGGGTGAGACTCCCTCTTGATGGGGAGCAGTGGGTCTCGACAGCGACACTCCCTGTCACACTGCTGAGGGCTCGGAGGTCTGGGCCGACCTTTAGGGGTCGATTTAGAAAACGGGGGAGCCAGGGTGGTGGTTTCACTGCTGTTCTGGTCCATGCACAGGGTCTCGTCGCCCAGTTTGGGCAGCTGCTCACAGCTCATCCTCTCAGGCCACTCGAAGCCGTACTGGCTCATCAGAGGGGAGCAGCCACGTTTGGCCCGTTCACACACAGAGCGGCAGGGTGGCAGGGGTTTGCGGTAGTCCGGCAGGCAGATGGGGGTGTACATACTGCACAGGAAGAACAGCAGGTCCGGGGAGCAGCGGATTCGGACCAGAGGCCAGAACTGGTGCACCTCCAGCCCAACCTCCTCCTGGGTGTCATGGTTGAACTGATTGGGCATGTAGGTCAGGTTGTATCCGATACCTTTGCACATAGGCACCGTTATGGGCTCACACACCAGATCTTTGGAGGCTCCTGATGTTGTACCGCAACCACTGAGCAGCAGCAGGAGCAGCATGAGGAGCGCCGTGAGGGATAAGCTCAACGGTGCATCCATCATCCAACGGTGCACCATGACGCCAACGAGAAAAAACTGAAAAAGTGACTTAAACAAAAACAAAAAACCCCCAATATATATTAATCCAAGTCCTAAACTGATTCTAATAAAATCTTAATTCGAGAGTTCATCTCCACATGATGTCCTTCTCCTGCAGGAAAAATAAGATTCATTCTGCTGCGAGGTGGAACTGGGAGAAACAACCTTTGAGCCTCTTAATGATTAAAACAAAACAAGTCCAACTCCGGAGGCTAAGTCCAGACTGTGCGCCAGGAGAGTCTCTGCTGTCAATCATTCACCAGGTCTTCCGCAATCACAGCAGAGAAAGTTCATCTCCGGTGGTCACGTTCCAATAAATTTAACAGCCCTGTAACACTTTTACCAGCTCTCTGTGTGCACAGCCACCGGCCAACGATGGAAAATCTCTCACCATCATCAGTGGGAGACTCGAGTGGGTCCAGGAAAAAAGGGAAAAATGAAAAATTTCAACACTTAAAAATGAGGAAAATGTCCATAAATAAAGTCTCTGGACTCTGGACGCAGCTCCGTGCGTAAATGGCAACTCCGCGTCCAATTCTTTCCGGTTTTCATTCCGTTACCGTCGCGCAAAAAACTTTCGGTCTCATGTTAGGAAGTTTTCGGAGTCTTTTTCTGTTACTGCCTGATGTAAATCCCGACTTTTCTCTGTCACACTTGTGTCGGTGTCGCTGGAGATCAGCGTCCGCTCCGACCGATAAGCAGGACCTGAATGAACCTGAGTGAAACAGCAGCAGCAGCTCCTCATCCACGCTCTGTGGTGATGCGTTCAAGGACCGCTGGGAACCACACGATTTCAACTTCCCTGAAACTACAGTGAGAACGATTAAGAAGGCCTTTCTATATCAACCCACACCTCAATAAATAAATGTTCAAGAGTTTGAAAAGAAGACTAACTGATTCTTGTGGCCAAGAAAAAGAAAAGCTAATTATGTGGGTTTGTTTTATTTGTCATATTCTTTAAAGCATCTGATGTCACATTATTTTATAGTATTTTATTTATAAAATAATCTAAAAAAAGATATAGATAAAGATATAATCAGATAAATTATCTTTCAACATTTTAAGAAATCAAAAACACTGACGATGTGAAGTTTTTAGTGAAACTCTCCGGTGGACTGACGGCCAGTGAACGCATCACAAGTTGTATTTATGACTTCCTGCATTAGGAAGAGTTTACCAGAGGAGGAGGAGGATGATGATGATGATGAATACGGTCTGTCCACAATTTGACGAAGCCAAATGACCGCACGCGCACGCACAGGTAGAGGGAACCCACAGAGATTATTTAGTGACTGTGTAGTTTTAAGAAAGTAAACTGTGTCTGTCACTGATATTTTCTAGTTTTTTTTTTTTTTACTTTTTAAAGGCATCGTCTCTCAAACAGTGACATCTTCTTTGCCCATTTTCAAATAATATAAAAAAAACTTTTCTGAAAACTGTCTTTCTAAAAGCAAGACAGAAGATTTGGTGAGAACCTATAATAACTCTGCTGCGATACCTTTAGTTGTTTCCTACAGAGAATAATCATTTTAATAATAATTTAACGTACATTTGAGATTCATGTGAAGCGACCACAACTTCTATGGAGGGAAAAGATTCAGTAAAAGGAAACTGTTAACATATGAAAAAACTATAATCTGCATAAATGCAAATCAAAAATATATTTTTAAAAATTCAAATAAATGGGCAAAAACAATTTGATGATTCAGTGATTCTGCTTTCGCACAAACACAGGGAGACACACTGACCAAAGGTCAGTACACCTTCTGAGGGACAAAGGTCTGTGTGTGTGTATGTGTGTGTGTTTAAGTATTTAAGATGTTGTCCTAGCTTTACACATGCACTCGTCACTGTTTGCTTTTAGTTATCAAAGTTACCTCAGTGGAGGGTGATGAGCTACACACACACAGAAAGAAAGAAAGAAAGAGAATGAGACAGAGAGACACACACAGAGAGAGAGAGAGAGAGAGAGAGAGCTCTAGGTGCCAGTCCTGTTTGATTAAACCTGGAGATGTGTTCTGCATCACTGGCTAATCAGGTAACCATGGAACACACACACACACACACGCACGCACACACACACACACACAAACACACTGCTCTTCTGTGTTTACTGATTGACACACTCAGTCACTTGGTTTTAGAATTTAGGTTAAAAGTTTAAATTTGCTACTTAACTACAGGAAGCTATACACACAGAGAGGGAGAGGGAGAGAGAGAGAGAGAGAGAGAGAGAGAGAAAGAGAGGCAATCTACACAGGTTCAAAAGTCTTAACTCTTAATCTACTTCAAAAGTTTAATTGGTAATTATGAGTAAAACAAAAGTAAAACGAGTTTCTACACTAAAGAAGATGTTACTGCGTAGTCAGATTTATTTTTAGAATTATATTCAATTCACAAATTGCTACAAGCTAAAGAAATATAATAAAAAAGCCTGAACAGGATACAAATGAACCAATAAAAGCAAAAATAGCTTAAAGATTCTGTATCCCAGAACTATGCTAAAATAAACTAACAGCAACAAAAAAACAAGACAGATTAGCCAAAATAAAACAAAAAATAAAAAAAACAACTAGAAGTTAATTAGTCCTGGTCTAGTCTATCAGCAAACAGTAGAGCATAAATAGTTAACTACCTACAGTACGAGTTAACTAATAAGTACCCAGTAATCACTGAGAATCAGCCATACGCAAACATTAGCCAAATGTGGCTAAAGGTAAGTCAAAACGCAGCAAACTAGAGAAAGGTCGGGTGAGAAATGATCAAAATGAACCAAAAACATAAGGTAGGACAAAAAATAAAAAACTCAAATCTTACATCAAGTGTCACTGAGTCAGTTCAGGGGTTTCTCACTCTTGGCTCCACAAGTGGCTTCATGTGTGGTTTACTGCGTCCAGTGCTGCGGAGGAAACACAGCAGAAAATGAAAAACAAATCTGTTTCCATGAACTTTTCTGCAGTCGTCCTGGATATTGTAAACCTCCTTTGTGTTCAGCCTGGTCACACCTCTGGATTATTTACTTATGTGTACCCCCCCGTCCCCCCCCCCCCCCCCCCCCCCTCAAAGTGTACTAAAGGTTCTGTTTTCTTTCATGCAGGCGCAGGATTGAAAAGTAACATGTAGGGACTTGGAGTTTGTTTGACGGACATGATCCGTCACAGTGAACCAATAGCACGCCTGCTTTGTTTCTACAGTTGTCTTGCTAATGTGTGGCAATGTTTAGTTCTGACAACAGTCTACAAGAATGGAAACTGGTGGAAAAACACAGAGGTTTTGTTGCAGTTTTACAAATAAATGTGTTTGCTGTAACAAGTGCACCAACCATTGTCATTTTCTGATTCATCACGACCGCCAGTCTTCTCCATAGTCATGACAAAGATAACTTAAGCTTCACCTGGAAGATAAAAACAAATTAGCACGGAAACAGTTAATATTTTTGCAGCAAAGTAAAAACCAAAATGGGAAACATAAGAAAATGTAACTGAAACTGGAATATATTTTTAAAAAGGTCGTAGATGGCATTAGGTCAATTTAAGATAAGAATAGTTTGGCTAATAATTAGCCAAACTTAATGGTCCTAAGATTGTCAACATATAGTTGGCCAAACATTTGTTAATAAATAGCCAAAACGTCAACAAACACTCAACAGTGGAAGCAGATTTGGAGACAAATTAAGTCATGATTAGAAAACCTTTTTTTTTTAGCCTGATTAAAGCTTGCCTGAGATTTAAACTTTAGTTTACTCAAAATAGTCCTACCTTGAAGTGAGTGAATTAAAAAATAACTGTAAGCTGGTCAATGGAAGAAATAGCCTTGAAATAGGCTCAAGTATTTTGCATACTTTTTAAAAACATTTTTAAGTTAATTTAGCGAAAAAAGTTAAATCAACACAAGTTGAGTGTAGCTCATTTTAGTGTATCTTATCACTAAGAGTTAGCCATGAAATAGAGTAAGAGGTTAGCCAAATACAACTGTGACCTGAGAGCTCAGTGCACACAGAGAGTTTGGAGATTTACAACCAATTTATAAGTCCAACATTTTCTTCAAATGTGTAGAAAATGACAGAGTCTGGTTGGTCGTCGTCCAGGTTTGACTTCTTCTGTTTTTGACATGGTTGTGGTCCTGGATCAATGACTTCAGCATTTTTAAGAAGTCTCCAGTGATTCACTGTTTGGACTCTCTGTGAGGAAAGTTGCTTAAAGCCTAATAACAAATGACAAGGAATAAAACCACATTTAAATTGGCCTTTAAGTAGAAAAACAGTGGATTTGGCCTCTAACGCTCACAAAGGCTCAGACCTGCTGAAGCTTTGGACCAGACCAGACCAAACCAGCCTCTGAACCAGCAGGTCACTGGAAACAACTGGGGCCCTGCCAGCTTTTGTGTTGCAGCTCACTAAATGTTGGGGTAGAGTGGGCCGTGTGTGTGTGTGTGAGAGAGAGAGTCATACACTCATTCTGGAGAGCAGAGGCCCAGTTCTACCCTCTTCTGTGACCGTTGTGCACCTCCCTCCTCCTCCACCACCTCCTCCTCCTCCTGTTTTTTTCCTCTGTCCTCTTTTTTTCCCTTAAACTGTCTTTTGTTTTCATTTTTTCGTTGGCATTTCTGCCCCGTCGTTGTTCAGCCCTCAAATCAGTCTTGACTGGCCCGCGGGCCACTGGAGAAGCACAAAGGCCTTGGTTCTACTCGCTACAGTTGATCCATTGTGGGCGTCCCACAATGCACTAATTGGCGATGACAATTAAGCGCGGTCGACACTCAGCTTCAATTTGCCCGCTGCTCCGAGCGTCACGCTCTCTGAGGCTCCTGCTCTCTCAGACGACAGGCAGATTCACTCAGGCAGGTGAAGTGGTTTGGAAGATCTTTCCTGACCCCAGGACCAGCGGATGACAAAACAGTCTTGCGACAAAGTCTGTTGTCCTCCCTCCCCCCCCCGCCCCCCCCCCCCCCCCCCCCCCCCCCCACCCCCCCT